AAAGCTTGGACAACTCCCATTTGGAAAGTGATTCAGAACCTCATCCAAAACAAGTATCCAACCCTCAAATGGATTAGACCTGCAATGTCATACCACAGATTCACCAACCTGCGAGAAATTTCAATGGAGACCTTATGACCAAGCTCAATACTGGAATTGTCTCCCTTGACTTTACAACCCGCCCATGCAACTGCACCAACCGTTTGACAGATGGATGTGCCTACAACAACCACTGCAGAAAACCCATTGTCATCTATGAAGCAACAAGCACCCAACCTCCCAATCCTGCATCCAGCCCCAAATCCTACATCGGCGCCACACAAAACTTCCTAAAGCTCAGAATGTCATCACATGTCAGTGAAACAAAACGCCTATGCCAATTCCTACGCGGCAAAAAACACAAACCCAAGAACTCGGACACCTTTGCTTGGCACTTTGCTGCCAAAGCAGTGGCAACCACCACAGGAGACCCCACAGCATCTGACATTTGGAAACTCTACAACCTCAAAATACTGTGGCAGGGCAACCCCCTGTCCACAGTCAAAACGTTCGGGACAAATGACTGCATTCTATGTAATCAAGAACGGCTTCACATCTTCAAACGTATGAGAAACAAACCTTCTACACTTCTCAACAGATGTGAAGAACTATTTAAAATACATGCCGTCACAAACCACGGTTCCACCGGTTCACCCATGCAACCCCAGTGAGCAGTACTGATGAGCCCTCAATGGGCGAAAAAGTGCCAACAACCATTGGTGTTTAACACCATTGGTGTGTGTGAATGCAATCGATATAATCCATAGAAATAGTACCACAGAGTCAACCCATCAAGCCACAGTTCTGTTGCCTCGTGCCACTCGGCACCAGAACTCCAGCCTGAAGGCTTGTCTCTGTCAATCCCAGTAAATTATATTTAGAATACTCACTTTTTGCTGCAATTGATAAAAGCTTTGTCGACCTGGCACATCGCTGGGTCCATCTGCGGAACAGATCCTGAACCATCTTGCTACACTCTAGTTAGCTCTTGCAGCTCTCTCGACTTCCTCTCCTCTGCTTCCCTTCTACTAGCTAGTATCGGCACGGCAATAAGCCACGATTACTGGCAACATCATGACAGCTACATGTGATGCTTGTTTCATTGCTGAGCAGCTACGGCGGATGTGGTGAAAGTTCAAGCAGAGAGATATGTTGCTACATGACGAGACTTGCGTGTGGCTCAGCAGCCACAATTAAGTTTTCCAACGAGACCTAGCCAGGCAGCAGACCTGGTTCATGAATAGAATGGAAGCAAAGTAGCTCTAGACTATCTTTTCCTTACCGTACTACAGACACTTCAATCTGCAGGCTGAGCAACGCCGCCGTACAGTGAATTGGCTGAAAACTATCTGTTTAGAGGGAAAATAGGCGCTTTCATGGCACCCGGTCTGATACATCTTGAAATCACTTGCTTTGCGTTCTGATTTCCTTTCATTGTCACACCCAACGCTCCTTGATTCCAAACCTTGGCAGCAAGGCTGGCGTTTCTGGCCTTGGAGAAGACATGCGGCACAGCAGCCTCACGCGAGCTCACCAAGCAGTTGATGTTTCACCAAATCCAGGGCATCTTTTACATCATCAGAAGTGAGTCCAACGTGTTTTTCTGTCACCACTGCATGACCCTTGAAAAGATGCAAGTACCTTGGCTCTTTAAGGATACTCCCTCTGTCGTCTAGGGCTACCCAGGCAGCGATGCCGTCTTTTGCGTGTTCCATCACCCACCTGGCAATCTCTATTTGCCGGCTTTCATGATGTTCTCCTGTTCGACTGTCAAACAGTTTCAAGTCCTTGAGCGGACCCCCATGTTTCTCTCCGTACTCACAAAAGATATCAAGAATGTGTTGGGTGCATGTCTTGTGCAATCGCCACGCCGAGGAAAAGACTACTTTCCTGTGTTCTTCTGGAATGGCGCTCAGCAACTCTGAAAATGCTGCAACACTTTCCTCTGACACTTCATTGTCACAATGTTCCAGGCCCGCCATTGCATCATCGTCATATGCATCATCCCCTTCATCATCGTCGTCATAGTCTTCTGGCCAAGGGGCGAGCACTCCGTCCATGTCGAGAAAGATTACTACAGTATTCGTAAACGAGGTATCTAGGCGTCTCGTGTGGTCCTTGAAAAGCAAAGAAAGAGAGGTGTCCTCTTGACCCCCAAATAAACTTGTCGCAACAAAAGCAATGACAACGAGGAACGTCACAATTGACGAGACGAACACAGCGCTATTACTCATGCTAACGCTTTGGAGGTTGCTTGGCAAGACAAGAGACAACAACAAAACTGAATCATACGATTTTAGCAAAGAGTGCTTGTGGAATTCATCGACGGCAACAACAACAACAAGAGTTCAAGGCTCTAAAGTCCTTTTCCTTTATGCCAGCAACTCAGGCTCGACAGCATTGACCAGTTTGTTCGTGGGACGACTTTTTCCTTCCTGTTTGTTGAGTAAAAATTAAAGCTTGGAGTGCCGCAAGATGATTACGTTAAGTCTCCATTTCGTACCTTGGATCTTTGAAAAGTAACCCTAAACGGTTCTAAAAGATCTTGAAGGGTACGGGTCCATCAGGATTCCTTAGCCAGTTGAGCCGTTTAAAACTAATCACAGGCAGACACTAAGGGAAAACGGCGGAGGGTGGACAACACCACAACGGGTTCATGCACCAGTACCATGGTACTCTTGCATTTCCATTGGTTGAGTGCCCCGTGGTGCCTGTATGGTACTGGTAGTACCGGTACTGATCTTGAAGTTGCAATCTCAGGGACGAGGGGGCACTGGCAACATCTTGCAGCCAGAACGAAGTCAACCAAAAGAATGAAAGAGCATTTTTGCACTACACGTATACGGTTTCCTCGACTCATGCTTGCAGAAAGGTTGCTTCCATGACTGCTCTATGATAGCATGGATGCATCAACCAGGCCGGGCAGAAGACGCTGTCCGAGCGACTCTCTAAATGCACGCCCTCAGGCTTGGAACACTGCGGGAAGCAACCAAGACTTCAGCTTTTGCTTGTTCTTCACCGCAAGATTCAAGGCTTCGGTGGTTTCACTGGCAAGCTAGCTACCAGGTACTAGAGTTCTACATGTACCAATAGCTAATCTGGATGCGAATCTATCTTGTCTGGTACCGAAAGCTTGGCTGGTTGTCTACCCTTATTTTTAGCAAGACAATCTTGGGAAAATCTCTTTTCAAGCCTTCAAACTGGATCTTTTGTGCATGTAATGTCCCTTGGTTGCTTGGTTGCTCAAACAATGCCTCCACACCTCCACACTGTTCCCCTACATGTATCATCTGTTCTTGTGATGCATTGCCCCCTAAAACCCACAACTCTCGAGGCTTCAATCATTTGCATGTAGCTCATTTTTGTTGTTCCGGCAATCCTCACTGCGTCACAATGAATGGTCAGAGTTTCTCGCGGAAAGAACATTGGATTTATTACGTGTAAAAGGCTCTTTTGATTGCTTGTCCATTGTGACATTCGATTGTCCAATTCGATCGGAATGCCTCTTAGCCACTCCATCAGTTTCAATGTGTGAAGCAGGTTCCGTTGATGATACTCTATCGCAAAGTCGACGTGGTTCCAACTCCGACTTAGGAAAGAGTTGGATGGCAGGCGGAGTATCATCTTCATCCATGTAGATAAGATAGCATAATTTCATCGCCTCATTTTTGTCCAGGATTGAGACATTCTCGGTGTGGTAAGTTTACAGGTTCGCAAACATCTGAAAATTCCGGAATTACTAGATTCCGAAAAACTGTTTTGGTTTCTCTCTCAGTTGCCGTTTTTTGTCAGTAGGGGCTCTAGTACCGGTAGCCTTGGATGCAGTGTCCAATCTGCAGGGTCCCAGCAACGGCATGGCAGTGAACGGCACCATTTGTGGGGTACATTGTACTGCAGAGCTCCAGTAAATAGTTATTGGCTAGCTAGAGAACATGCAGCAGACCTCCGAACTGCTTCAAGGGTTCGGAATCTGAGAGTTTAGCTGCTTCCATGAAATAGCTAGTAATCGTAGCGTCTGTTTTGCAATCCAAACGCATTACTCGTACATGTAGCTAGTCTAGGTTAGTAGCATAGATTAAGTTAATGTCTCTCACATGAAAAGCAGACCTGGCTTCGGATCAAATTTTTATGAAAAGTAGTCCCGGCTTTGGCACCGAATTTATGCTCTTGAGGACTCTTGCCGCGCAGCCATCCGAGAAGGTGGTCCCAACATCGCTCGGCAGTGCAGACTCGGAAGTCTTCTGGAGACGAGATACCAGTACATACAGTACTTGTGCTGCCGCGTCAGTGGCGAAATGTACAACCATGAAGCGGTGGACCAGGCAGCAGCTCAGCAGTGCAAGAGAAGCGAAAGGTGGGTGCAAGCAAGAGTCGTGGTTGAACCATGTTCAGCGCTGCTGGACGCGACCTCTAACATTTTCTAGGACCGAAATCTTACTGATAGCTCTTCTATTTCGGTAAATTTCCGTCGGCATATATCTCTAGATTTATCAGTACCAGAATTGGTATAGGAAACCTTTCTTTAATTCCTAATGCGAAGTCAAAACTTATTGCTCTTGCGATACGCTTAAGTATCTCTGGATTCATCGAGTGACTGTAAAAGAAATGAGGAAAGCGTCTTAATGGTACACACCTTTGCGTTAAAATTCAGTAGACCTCGTAGGCTTACGTTTGCGTCATTCCTTCTATCTGTGGTCGCATGATCAGTACAGTACAGTACTGCGACTCCGAGTGCCGTATCTTTCGCCAAAGTTTACATCAAAAAGTGAGGTGCCGGCCGGGTCCCCCAAGCAACTTGAATTTTGATGAGTTGTTGCAACTGACCAAAACTCGCAGGCCACCGTTTGATTTGGAGAGAAGAGAGTGTGACCTTTCTTGAAGGAAAGAAAGAAGGACCGAAGACCCAACGAATCAATTATCGAACCCACAACAGGTCAACAAAAACTAGAAGTTCGTCCAGAATAGACAAAAAAGAAAGCAACGACCATGATGACCATGACTCCTTCTTGTTGCCACAACAAGCTGTGTAGTTGGCTGGTGTTGTTATTGTTCATCATGCCGTCGCTCACCATGGCACGCGAGAAGGCCACCATTTTGGTGGAGTCTCACGATTTGTACTACGGCGGTTGTAGCAGCAGCAGCGACCATGGTGCCAATTGTGCCATTCGAAAAAATGCCACTGCTTTTGACAGCAGTTCATCTAGTGAAATTGTGGTGGACTTACCTGCTACTACTATCGAGACGGATCCTGCTGTCTGGCCCAAAAGCAAACCTCTGCCGCCTCTCAAGCCATCCGCCAAGAAAGTCTTGTTTGTGGCGCACTTTTTTGTCAGTACCGATGTGAACCACATGCTGCTCATGGCGGAAGAGTTGCGTGACCGAGGACACGAGTGTCACTTTATCGTCATGGAGCCGTATGTGAAGCGAGTGGAAAAGGCCGGCTTTACAGCCACTGGGACTCCCAATGTCCTGCAAGGCGCTGGATTGGACACCATCCAACGTGCCTTCTCCTATGCGTCACACGAGACTAGTTGGTTCACATATGTCTACAAGTACATTTACGGCATTGCTCCCTTGGCGGCCGAGTACTATGAACCATCGATGACCATTGTCGAACAGTACCTGGCAAAACACGGAAAACCCGATTTGATGGTCGCCAGCAAAGCCAGTGAATGTGCCATTGATGTCGCCTGGCATGAAGGCATTCCACTCAGTGTCTTGTTCACAATGCCATTGGGAGGAATGCTCAATGCCTACGAAGATGTCGTCGCTGCACCCGATGCCAATCTGTGGGGAGGCGTCAAGGAACAGTCATCGCTCTACATGCGATTGCGCAAAAAAATGGTCCGATCTGCCATGTTGATCAATCCGGTGGTGCTTGTCGGCAGCATGAAATTGGCGTGGGATCGCTACAATCATGGCTACTATCCCTTTGCCATTCCGGGTCAATACTGGAAAGAGTCGCTCATTATCAGTCCCTGGAGTATGGGAATTGATCTGGCTCGACCGTTGCGACCATTGACACAGCTGGTCGGATTCATGACACCACCACTCCCCGAGTTGCCTCATGACGATGCCAGTCTCGCAAAATTCTCCACCGAAGATCAGGAGCACTTGCGATTCCTGAACAGCAAGACGGATGGTGTCGTCTTTTGTGCCTTTGGATCGCTGGCCGTATTGACACAGGAATGGTTTGACGAACTGGTCGCCGGTATGGATCTATGGGCACGAACCCAGGGACCAAACAGTGGTGCCGTGATTGCCGTCAATGATCTCAGTTTGAAATCCGGTCTCAATGTGTCCAAAGTACCCGACACGGTACAAGTCACCGGATGGATCAACCAAAAACTATTCCTGGCGCATCCTCACACCCAAGCCTTTATTACACACGGAGGATTGGGATCATTGGGGGAATCCATTGAAGCGAGAGTGCCCATGTTGGTCTTTCCCCTATTCTTTGATCAACCCAACAATGCTCATCGCTTGGAGGAAGCCGGCGTTGCTCTCAAGTTGCACTTTCGAGAAGAACGGGTCACGGCGGCCACAGTCGCAGCGCGGCTCACGAAACTGACATCGGATCCATCCTTTGCACACAACCTGGAACGACAGTACCAAATCAACAAGAGATCCGGTGGTGTTGCCAAGGCAATCGATTTGATTGAGGATGCACTCTTGTGGGACGGAAACCTCAGCCATCTCATTCCCGTCACGGAACGGGCTACCTTCTTTCAACGAACCAATCTAGACCTCTACCTGTTGATAGTGCTACTGGCGGCCGCATTCCTCATGACGGTGGTTTGGCCAATCGCACAGCCGCTGTTGCAGCGCTATCGCATCACGGCAAGATTAGAGGCCATGGCCAACAAGACGTTTGAAGAAGTCATTTCACACAGCAGCAGCAGTGGCTCGCTGCATGAACAATTAAGCGTCATCAGCAACAGCTAGATAGACAGGCATCATCGATCGATCGATCGACCGACGTCAAGATAAGTACTGATGACAAACCAACAACAACAACAGTCAAAATGATTGAATTCATTCATAAACACAAAACAGTGCAACGAAAGGAAAATCGGGAATACATACATTCGTTCCGAGTTGGTTTCCCCGATTGAGTGGTACGGTGGCTGAGAACAGCTCGATGGATCTCTTGTGTGAATTCCTGACAAACGCGCTACGATGTAGTAGCTTTGGAAGGATTCATTTGTTGGTCAGAGATCCTGGTCAATTCATGTGATATATGGTAATTTACACGTTTATTAGTTTAGATATGGACGGTTTTTTAGATACTTACGTCTACCAGCTAGCTAGAGCTGCTACATGTAGTTTCATGCGGTTGTAGATCTGGTACCGAATCGGGCAAGCCAACTGACCTTGAAGAAACTTGTGCCACTTGCCGTGCCGATGCTAGTACTACATTTAGCACCGGTAGGTTGCATGGGCTTCCGTGCGGCGCCGGTACGTGACTACCACCACCCAAGCCATCCTTGGTCAACCCAAGACCTTCGCCCCTTTCGATAGATACAGTCCTACAGCAGCTCGCGAAATCCTTCGCTTGGGCCAGTAGTCGTATCGGTACCATGATAGCCCTGCTCTTCATGGGGCAGAGAGATGGGTTCAGCCAATCTGAAAAAGAAGGCAGAATTCCTCATCCCAACCTGCTCAAGTCTTCAAAGTTAAGGAAGCGGCTGGTTGCAGGCGTAACCATCGCATTAGTTTCAGCTGCAATCCGAGTCAATGGCTCCTTATGCTGTATGCTTGAAAGGCAGGATTCGATTCTCTTGGGCTGCTAGCTACCAGTACCAGCTGGCTAGTGCTGGTATCGTAACACCAGTGCCGGTCAGACTATGCAAGAGTACCAGTACTACTCAACTCTCACTTTATCAACGTTCCAAAGAGAAGCAATTGACAAGGTCATGGTGTTGGTTGTCTACTACATGTATAGCTAGGCTCCTCCATTGCTCATGGTTTCCGCAAGACTCTTTGTTGCTGGCAGAGATGATGAGAATGGAAACTGAATCAATCTCAATCGAGCCAATCCCAAACTGCTGCTACAGGGGCGCTTTCGGAGCGCAGATTCCGTCTCGACATCGATACAAAGTGCGGGCAATGATTTCTTCACGGGAATATTCCCCTCCCACCAAGGGTGGTGCTTCTGCAATAGCACCGCTCTCCACCAGACCGACTTCTGCATCTCTCAGAAGCTTGAAATCTGCTTCTACCGGTTTTGGGTATCCTGCTGGCACTCCGCTTGTGGTCAGGAACTTGAACGAGTTTAGATAGTCCTTTCCCGTATACTTTAGATTGTTTTTCAGGTGAGCAGGAATGATTCTTTCAAACGGCCACTTGGAGACCTTTTCTGCGAAATCCAGCGACTCTACGGGGAAACGATTCAAAAGCAAGCTCTGAAGAATGGGCGCCACAAGCGGACCGCCACTGATGGCTTTGAAACTTGCAATGTCATCGCCAACCCAGTCCCAAGGATAGATCCCAAGAAAGTCGCTGTTGATATCGGGTCGACGCTCCTTGAGAGCAACATCTCTGTTGTTGACCGACAGTGTCAGGTAGATGATGAGGCGAACAACTCTTCACAAAAAGTAGGTGGCGAATTCACAGCAGTAGCCACTATGGAACTTACACATCCTTCACCATAATCCCCGCCGGGTTGAAGTAGAGGGCAAACAGGACAATTCTGCGCCATCCTTTCTTGCGCACTTCGGGAGTATCTGGCACATTATCTGTAACCGTATCGCGTGCATGATAGATCAGTGGGGCTGGATCAGCGTCGTAGATTGGAGGCACTTCTTCATTGACCTCGACCGTAGTGTCTGTCACCAAAAGCGTTTTCGTGTCTCTGTGAAAGAAAACAGTCTCCCCAAAAGCTCCATCGCGACTAATGAATGGTCCCAGTGAAAGGAAATCAAAGTCTTTGTTCCACTCGGGTGGTGCTTCTTCGGGACTAGATGGCATAGATTTGGTCCGACCGACAGGGAAACCCAAAAAGGAGTCTGGCAGATTGCTTGGAAAGGAGTATTGACCCTTTTGCAGCCAAATGGTAGCCTCCGGGAACTTTTGTGCAAAGACGCCCGAATAAGCTTTGTGTTCCAATGCCACTGACCCCAAGACGATGTGACGGATTGGACCGTGTTCCTTTACAATTTCATTCACCAATTCCAGACATTCAGCAGTAGCCGCAATGGGATCATAGACAAAGAGGCCTCCATCCGATAGCTTGACAATGCTGAACAAAACAAAGAAGGAATCCTTAGCACCAATCAATCATCCATGCACATGGGATTCATCTCTTACGTACGTCATGCGCAGGGGAACCTGTACATCCAGAATACCAAATTTTTGGTCGAATGTCCATAGTTTTCCGGGTACAATCGTCTCTCGAATCGTCTTTTTCTTTTTGTAGGTTCCAACGGGAAGAATTCCCCACAGTCCATAGTCTTGAGGATCGACTTCTCTGGTACCAAGAAACGAGATTCCCAATCCAACAGCCGCAAACGTCAGCTCTGCGGCCTGTCGCCTCGAAACACTGTTGGGATCACCATCTTCCTCTACAGGCGTTGCCTCCACAGCGCCAAGCTGTCCTCGATGATTCGTTGGATGTGGAACAAACGCTCCAACTGAATTCAAGTTCAATCCTAGTAGTAGCAAAAGGGACGAAGACAGGAGCCGAAGAATCTCCATCTTGATGGCTACAGTACCGGTAGCCAGCGAGAGAAACAAGGTCGGGATTGATTGTGGGTGCTACAAGACACTATACCGTAGGCTGACAACCATGGTTCTCTTACTCAGCCCACAGCCTCCAAGAAAGATCCAACTGGCCAGCAACTGGATATCAGTGACGTCACTGTATCCTACCGGTAACCAATTCCCCCAACTCCCTTACGTTTTAAAGTCAGCAAGGCTGGGTAGGTACCAGATACCCGTACTCGTACTGTCGGGTTTGAAACCACCTTTTACCCAACGCCAAAGAGACCAGATCCAAAATGTCCATGTCACGATGAGCAGACGACCTCCTTGCCACAACGCTGCTAAAAATGGCCGTTTGGAAATTTTGAAGTGGGCTCATGAAAATGGCTGTCCATGGAATCAACACACATATCGAGTTGCCTGCATGCATAACCAAATCGAGGTGATTCAGTGGCTACGGGACAATGGCTGCCCTGGGTCTCATGATGAAGGGCACTAACATTATTTATATGGTAAGGTTAGGACTTTGAATCAAAAGTAGATAAAATGCTCATGTTTTCCCTTTTCCAGCAACCCATCGCGAATCTGTCGCTGGCGATTGGAAGCTCAACCGTCAAATCTACTTAATCACTCAGTCTTTGCTGAAATTGTATAGCCCAACAGACATGGTATAGTCTCAAAGTTTTCTAATGGTTGTTGTTGGGATAGGACCGTCCCATCCCAGGAGCGGGTAACGTGACAAATGGCTCAGCTTCCTAGCTAGCTCCCAGAATTATTGGCAGATGATTGTTTGCGCTTTGTAGCCTGGGCACAAGTCAAGTTGCTGGCTGGCAGGTTTATATTGCTTTGCAATCAGAGGCAAGTAGACTGCTAGCTAGGCTAAGTAGGATACAATGTATACCATAACATAATCCGTTCGGGGAAAGTGTAATTCCTAAGTTAACAACACACCCCTAGCTTTGGCAGCCTGACGCTCAAGATCCACAAGAAGGTTGATTGCCAGTGGTACCGGTGTCTCTCGCCAGATGTTTTTATTGCAGTTTGCACTGGCTTATTACTACCGTTGCAAACCAACAAGCCAAGAAGCCAACAAGATCATGTAACGCAACTCGACATTCCCGTACACATGACGATGGCCGACACAACCTATAGTAATAGTGATCTGAAGATACTGGACCCCTCTTACATTAAGGAATGCTCCAAGGTGATTGCTGAAGCCTTCTCAGATGATCCGACGTACAGATACGTCTTCCGAGGCACGAAGGAGTATCGAAGAAACTCGTTGGAATGGTTGTTCGAACGAAACTTGAAACTGACCATGGGAAAATCCCCGTCAGTGCTAAGAGGCATTTTGAATAATGAGACCGGCCAGGTTCTCTGTTGCTTTCTGTGGACCCCACTGGAGCACTCTGATTTGAGCATGTGGGGAATGCTCACTGCAGGCCTGTGGGAGGTACCTTTTCGATTTGGTTTCCCAACACTCCAGCGATTGTTGAACCTAATTGATTCCATGAAAGCAGACGGAAGCAACATTGGCACTCATGATGGGACCACTCCTCTAGATGGCAGAAATCAAGAAGAATCAGAAAAAGTCTACATGATTAAGCTAGAACGCATGGCAGTCCTTCCTTCTTTCCAAGGACGGGGTCTAGGAAGCAAGGCTTTGAGATCGGTCCTCGAAGAGGAACAACAAAAAGTCAACAAAATGCCCGGTGAAAATCCACAGATTCACATTGAGTTTACAACACAGCTGAAGCGTAATGTTCAATTCTACCAGCGTCTTGGATATAAGGTGACATTTGACAAGGATTACTACGAGGGAGTTCCAGAGTACAAGTTCCACTCCTGGCATATGATGCAGGTTCTATCAAAGCAGTAATAAACAAGCTTTACTTGAATGATAAGGTTGCATGGATTCAAATCAAACAAAGTGAAGGTTGATGTTCCATGGAAAGTGTTCAGTTGATTGTTGGGCTGTGTGAAAGCCTTGATGCATTGCGTCAGACTGTGTCCTACCATACGCTCACCTGTTAGCAAAAGCATTTGAGTTCTTGAATCATTCCCAGGTCGACTACCAGCCATGCGCTACACAACTGCAATGGCCTGCAACTGGGCTGCGTTCAGTGGAGGCAATCCTTCGTCTGTCAATGCCTTGGCGACAGCTTTGTGAAATTCGTCACGAAGTCTGCCAATCTCACCAAGTGCCCCTGCTGGAATGCTGGGCGGTGACGCGGGCTCCTCCTTGATGCTGACTTTCCAATCATCATCATCATCAACCTGTGACGGTCTTGTTGTCAAGCAATAGTTGTCAAAGGCTAGCCATACCAGTAGACTAGCAATGGCATTGAGAACGTGCCATACAGCATGCGCCTGGAAAGGGCTGGTAGGGTCGCATAGGGATCGATTTTTGCTGAACCGGTTCAGGACGACTGCGCCAGCAAAAATGATCATGGGTGCCATGGCCGCCCCCAACATCCAGAAACAGGATTTCCATTTCGAAGTGGGTGGTTGCTCGGAAGATGACGTAGTTCCTTGACTTTGGTCATCCTCTCCCAGCATTGCCATTTCCTCCGCCACTGGCTGACGTCGACGGAATATCCGTATACCATTGGCACAGAGCAAGCAACACGCCAGGAAGAGAAGGACCGATACGAAGAAGATCCAGGTGTTTAAATGTCCAACTTCGTCATCTATTTCCTTTTTGAAGACGCAAAGGACAATCGCCGTGGCGAGGTTGATTGGTGCGAGCCAAGCCCACGATATCCTTCTCGCAGACACACAGTGGATGCCATGGAAGACCAGTGTGCAGAGACTTGTCTGTACCGCTGCCGCATCCAAGTGTTGCCAAAATGTGGTAATGGATGCGTGAAAGACAAAGCTGGAGATTCCCACAAATGTCTTGACCAGGAGAAAGACGATCGTGCTGATATCTTGTCGAATGGCAACAATGGGCCAAAGTCCTACCAAAATAAAGGCTAGATTGGTCCACGTGTTGGCTGGTTGTTGAATGACAGGTCGCTCTGCCATGGTATGGTCACATTGGTGACTGTTTTCACAAAGGCCTTCGCAATGGCCACTATCGTAGCTGCTCCAAACGCCGCCTTCGACCAATGGTAGAATCAGCAAGAACACAAAGGCGAAATCATACGCAACCAGGGAAAAGATGGCGAGTGTTATGGCCAATGATCGCCGCGTTTCTCGTTTCAGGTAACAAACAGATGATATCGGCGGCATGGCAAATAGTTGAGGGCGGTGATTTTGGATGATGCTGAATAAGCTACGGAATGGTCAAAAGGGACGTGATCTTGTCTCCAGTCTCCATGGTTGATCAGTTAAGTTGTTTCGGTGGTCATTGCTAACTCTGCTTGCCTCAGTTCATGCAAGAGATGACACCATGTTGAATTCTCTGTGGACACCAATGCCGAGGGAAGGGTTTGCCGATTACAACGGTCGCTTTGGCGAAGACCGTTGCAACGGCAACAATGCAGTCAACCGGTTTGGTAGACCCTTTGTGCTCAGAGGGTCATCCTCATGGTCATGGCATTTCCAGACAGGGTCTGGTACTGTCTTGTAGTGGTTTCTAATAAAGAGAAAAGATCGAATTGTGCTGGATCCTTCGCCTCCTGATGAAGGACAAAATGAAGATGCAACCTCCTCACTTCAGGCCTGAACCATCCCAAGGGTGATTGGTAATGATGGCCTCCAGCTCCAAGGCAGCATCAATGGAGAGTGCGGTAGTGGGAAGGGAACGGGGAACCTACTGCTACTGGGAGGACTACACTGTGTACATCTTCACCGTCGGCCACAGAGCTGACCTGACGGGCAGTATCAACCACTTTCAGAGCTGGGACCTACTAACTAGAGTTCATCTGTTGTATAACCATGTGTCCAGGTTCTACGGAGCCTCCGCCTGTGATTGGGATCCCATGTTAGGCAAGCTTGGCAAAACTGGCAAGGACCCTTAACACACGGTACCACTGCTGGCACAATACCTATCATTTTGCCCGCTACGGTATACCGGTAGCTCTACCGGTATGGTAGCAAGGTGTTTGAGGAGACTATCAGCTACCCGGCTGGCTAGCTAGACTAACTACCTGTACCAGGTAGTAGCTACTCTGAGTACATACCTGCGGTCCGGAAAGTGCTCCTGATCTATCGTTATTTCCCTATTTCAAGGACCATCGCCTCGTTCTCGGCGCATCGACCCGATATAAAAAACATCCCCTTCAGAGACACGTCAATATACCGGGCAGACCCCGGTGATCTCTGACCCCGTTTAATATACCGGGCAGACCCCGGTGATCTCTGACCCCGTTTATTGTGGTGGTGGTGGGTTTGGTTGGTTGGTTATCCTTAGGGTTAGAGATTTACTTCACCCTCGTTTCTCACGCGTGCTCTAAAATCTTTTTACTAAGTGACGGTCTATTTTTCCTATGTGTGCCACTTTAACTCGTAGTCACGCCACTTTCTCAGTGGATTTGTCACGTTGCCCCTTAATCCCGTAGTACCGACTTTCTTCGAAATTAATGATGCCCCCCGATTGACTCTAACTTTGTAGTACATGTTTTTGGGATTCCGTCTTCACGTGCCACTATACTTCCGTTAGTCCACGCTTTTCTCGAATGGAAATCTTTAGTCCTAGTTGAATCTAAGTCCGTAAGTCCACGATTTTTCAGACGGAACATTTAGTTCGGTTGAACTTATCCGTAGTAACGAATTTCTAGATGGAAAAATTTGGCATACTCTCTCAGCAATTATGTTGATTTTATGCCGGCCCATCCTTTATTCACTCGCCCGGTATTATATTCAACTCCGGTGTCTTTTTTCGCTGCCTCGACTCATTTTTTTCTGGGAACACCGTGGAAGTCGAGGAGGCTGCAGAGCTGCAGATTTGAGAGTAGCTATTTAACCCAGCGAGCTGGTAAATCGATCTTTGCAGACGGTTTCTACCTGCACGCCATAAAAAGCACAACAGGTGGTGTTAGCGAGGAACCCGTGATCTCTGACCCTGTTTAATATACCGGGCAAACCCCGGTGATCTCTGACCTGGTTATGGTGGTTTTAGGTTGTTGGTTGGTTTCTTAGGGTAGTTTACTTCAACCCCTCTTTCTCACGCATTCTCATAATCTTACGTAGCAACGGATCCTAATATTTCTCACGTTGCACACCTCTAAACTCCGTAAGCTACCACGCCTTCCAGCGTAAATCACAACTCACGTTGCACACTTAAACTCCCGTAAGCTACCACGCCACTTTCTCAGACCGAAAATTCACTACGTTGCACCTCTAACTCCGTAAGCTACCAACCACTTTCTCAGACCCGGAATCTTACGCCACGTTGTACACCTCTATCCCGTAAGTCCACGTCACTTTTCAGACGAAATTCTGACCTTACCATTAGCCAACTTCAACATATTCGTGCCGGCCCATCTTAAAACTCGCCCGGTATATCTATTACACCTCCGGTGTCCTTTTTTGTGGTGGTGGTTGGGTTTGGTGGTTTGGTTATTCTTAGGGTTAGAGATTTACTTCAACCCCCTCTTCTACATTCTCATAATTCATACGTTAGCAACGGATCCTATTTTCTCTCGATGCCTAACTTAATCCCGTAAGTTCCCGCCACCTTTTCAGATGGAAATTATTGGCTACGTTGCCCCCCCCCCCCCCTACCCTCCTCTATTTTCCCGAGTCGCCTTTCTCAGATGGAATTATTCTCCGGTTGCACTTCTTCTGTAAGCTACCACGCACTTTTCTCAATGGGATCTAGATGACTGGCTTGGCCTTGCACACCTCTAAACTCTTGTAAGCTACAATGCCTCTTTCTCAGATGGAAAAATCTTACGTCTCACGTTGCACACCTCTGAACTTCCGTAAGCTACCACGCCACTTTCTCAGACGGAAAATCTTACGTCTCACGTTGCACACCTCTAAACTCCGGTAAGCTACTACGCCACTTTCTCAGACGGAAAAATCTAATGACACTACCTTCAGCCAAACTTTAACAATATTATTATGACCGCCCATCTTTCAATTCAGCTCGCCCGGTATATCTATTACACCTCCGGTGTCCTTTTTTAGAATTGGCCAGCAACACTACCCCTGATGACATTTGGCGAATTTGCTAATAAACTAATTTGAATTTGTTTACTAAAAAACATGGTCAAATTCTGACGGTACATGCATCACTAAAAATTACAATTCATCATGAATCAATCAAATCATTTCACAATTCATCAAATTCTAGACAAATTTTTTAAATTTATCATGTTTTTGATGTTCCAGCATTAATGCAAGAAAAGGTGCCAGGACGGTTAAGTAAAGGTTGACTTTGGGGAAACGGGGTTTTCGAAAGGAAAAAAGTGTTGAAGTTCTGAGTTTCTAGATTTGAGAGCACTGAAACTGTTGAAATTGGTTCAACACTGTTGAACCTCCTTTAAACACTAATTCAACAGAGATTTAACACTTTTCAACAGGGATTCAACACTTATTCAACAACTTCCACACTTCCATTGACTATAGATTCAACAGTAATTCAACACGGTTTCAACAGGATTCAACACTTATTCAACAGTTTTTCAACAATTATGAACCACTTTTCAACACTTTTCAACTACCGTGAAAAGTAGACAGTTTGTTTAAGAATTGGGGAACCTTCAAGTCAGTTTACCCAAAAATCCAACTTTTTCCACTTTTACTTAACGGTCCAGGTACCAGTACCAGTACTGAGCAACGAGCTCCCTGGATAGCCGCGTTCTCAGTTCAGCAGGAGAATACCACCTTGTGGCGCTCTCTTCAGGAGTGCACAAAGTCCACAGTGAGTTGGTTGTTAGTTGGTTACCAAGAAGCGTCAAGATAAGATGGATCCGCCAGGAAAGGGACCTGCTACCATGGTGGGAGAGAATCCAGTTCGAGTGGATGCTGCAGAAGCAATAGCTCGTCCCACGGGCAGCCCAAAGGAAAGCCCACAAGAAGAAGAAGTCAACACAAAGAAGAGCGCTGCTTCTGATGATGAGTACCCACTGGACCCTGCTCTGTTCGTATTGTCCCGGGAAGAAAAGGAACGGGCCTTGGCAGTAAAACGTGCGATTGAAGGCCTGTCCGATATCGATATCACTATATCTGACTTTATGTGTGCTCACTTAGCCATTGCTGGCCAAGGAGACTTGGAGTGGGCTGTGGCGAGAGTGTACAAGATGCAAGATGTACAGGAGGAGTACAAGTTTTTGGATAGCTATGAAGAAGGGGTTGTGGCCATTCAAGCAATGATGGAGATACTTCCACATGGCATCATGTCCTTTTCATGCGATCCTGTGAGTGGGAAATGTGCCGTAGTCATGGATGGAGTTAGCAGGCTGAAAGAGTTGTGGAAAAATCCAAAGAATGTGGATGTTACAATTCGGGGTTGCCAATATGTTTGTCGTGCACAATTTCCTTCCTTGGAATGTGTCCGGGTAGGGAACACTCACGTGTTTGAGATGGAGGGATACGAGTGGGGGCGGGGCATGACAGATGTCAAAGAATTGTCAAAGCTGACCAATGAGACACAAGGTACCTATCCAACAGTGCTGAACTTTGTTAGATTTTACAACACACCCACAATGTTTAATTGTGTGGTGAGCATGGTGAAGCGCCTCATTCCAAAGGAGCTGGCTAAAACCTTTTCCTTTGGCAATACATACTCCGGAGGCTCCCTGCGGGATTTCTACCTGGTCCCTACCCCAGAAGCTGCTTACCAAAGGGCGTACATCAATCTCTGTCGAAACCTCAAGATGCGGTTTGAATCTGAGAAGAGGTTCTCTCTTTCGAACTGACTGACTGACCTGGTCTTGCCTCCAGTGTCCAGTCTCTGGGTTGATATCCCACCTAGCTATTACGCTACATGTGCTGCAGATCTTGAAAATGCTCCAATTCCTACGTATTGTGTATGGGTGTGTCTAAACGCAAGTAGTCTAACCCCCAACGAAGCCACAACAGAGGTGCTGTGTTCCGGTACACTTACTTGTGTCGTGAACATTGCGGTAGAAAGCCTTCTGCGATTAGTACTGGTAGTAGCAGAGTGTATGGTTGGTGTTGTGGGTCAGTGCAAGGACTCAGAGGTGGCGAGAAGGACGCTGCATTGGCGACAATTTTGTACAAGCAGCAGACCCGAGAGCAATGGACATGTAGAAGTATCATGGTTGCAAGGAAGAGAAAGAATAAGAGCACGTGTATTCTTATTCCACCCAGGAAATTCTCAGTCAGGGGGTCGACTTCATCTCTACCAGTATTAGTGTATTGGTTGGAAAGCTCGATGTTTGGGCCATCTGAGAACGGACAGTTGGCGTCGGGCCCCAACACGTGGATTCGATGGTGATATTCAACCCGTTGCCATCAACACTCCAGCAGAAGCTCGAGGATTGATCATTCGATTATTTTCTATATAAATTATGCTATGAACATATACATGTAAATCACATTGCGTTAGCTCGTTTTTGTCCGTATAGTGTGGTAATGGATTTCTTTCGTGGGAGCCTAAGCCTCGCTGATCACTCCTTGCTGCTGCTTGGCCAATCGTTCCATTGGCGTCGAGCCCATGCGGACCGCTGCTGCTGCTGTGCTAGTACTATTGGCCGTGCAAATATCTCCAAAGGAATAGGTTCCCCATAAAATCCACCAGGGCAATATTCGCGACAATCCCGGAATGGCCGAAGCACACACTTGCTTGTCCCGCACCGCAGCACACGCATTGACGCCGACTTTCATGGACAATTCATCGGGATTTCCAAAAATCAAAACAGCCACATCAATCCCAATATGTCCAATTCCAGGTACAATGGCGCTGACGCCAGGAATGGGATAATTGACTTCGTCACCGGCGTGAATTCCCGAAATTTCGTAATCCAAGTTGTGATTCTTTTCCACGACATTGAAAGAAACAGAACTGCCCGCTTGATCACAGGGAGCCACTACCAGCTTCAACCCGATCGTGTCGTTGAACACCATGGATTCAAAGGCACGTTCGCATTCTACTACAAAACTGAGAGGTCCTTCATCGCTGGCAGTTTCGTTTCCATTGCGGCAAGAGCAGTCCTTGGAAATTCCCGTAGTGTTGACTCGATCACAAAACGACTTGGTGTGGTTCTTGCTGCTATTAATACTGGTACTGATACTCCCAAGTTTGCTGCTCGAACATCCAACGCCAACGCGAGTTGTCACCCTTCCTTTCTTCTGCGCTTGCAGGTGGCCGACAAAGGCATCTTATGCAGCAGAGACAACAGAAAGAGGAGCGGCGGTGCAGAGGTCATGGTGGTTTGGTTTTGTGTGTGTTGCTCTTCGATCTCTCTCTTTTC